AACCTCCACAATGCAACGAGGACATCTGTTTTGGGCGTAAGTACGTGACGTCATGCCGCAGCCCGAAGCAGGTGCTTAAACCCGGAAGTGAGATGCTACTCGATTAAGATGTTTTCTTCTTCGTGCTGGTAGTGTTTTAATAATGATTGATAGATACTTTAAATTAAACCGAAAACAGTGCGGTAAAGACAATATGTGATAGCTGAATGTGCAGTTACTTCTAAAAACAAGTAAACTGTTTTTAAAAGGAAACAAAATGGACTACAGGGGCGAGTCCTACACGGTGAGACACAAGTTTTACTTTTGTATTTAATTTAAAGCTTTAGTTTCTGGTTTGAAACCGATTAAAAGCTTCGCTTATTGTACTGTTTCAAATAAACTGTAAAGTGTAAATTCACGTTTAGGATATGGTAAATAAAAACTCGCCGAAGGTTGTTAGAAAAATGACACTTTCCAAGCGGGATAATTCCTTGATGATAATGGAAATGGCCTTAAAAAAAWAAATAACATAAAGAAAGTTACATATTTATATTGTCGTCTTATATAATCTTACTAAACTAATAACTTTCATTTCAGGACAATCTGATTGGGACTTTACTTGCAATTTTTGGAAATGTAATCATCAGCATCGCATTAAGCATCCAGGTACTGTTTTTGTCCAAAATAACAACCTGAATATATTCCATGTTTGTTGAATACATCTCTTTATTTCTCATGTAATGTTTTCTCCTAAGTTATTGTTTTGTGTCAGCATTGTTCCTTGGTGAATTAGTCTGAATAAGTCCTCAGGGATGGGCTGGTATTACTGGTTATGATATCACCAGTCTTCTTGTATTGCTGTGGTTTAAGCCTCTTTCATAAGTTTGCTGTCTGAGTATTAATTTACTGTTTGTTTTCTGTCCCTTTTTTTGTCTGTCCCTGCAGAAGTACAGCCATGTGACATTAGCAGGATCGAATGAGCGTGCCTTTTACCAGACCAAAACCTGGTGGTGTGGTTTTGTGTTCATCTGTGTCGGGGAGGGAGCCAACTTTGTGTCTTATGCGTTCGCCCCCCTTGCTGTTGTGGCGCCTCTTAACGCTGTGTCTTTCCTGAGTGAGTGTTCGGCCTGCGTTTTAATAAATGCTCAGATTTAATTAAGAAATTCTCCCCATAGACTGAGAAAATGTACCTTTTTGTGTTTTATTTTATTTTTTTCCCCTCCCAGCAAGCTCAATTCTGGGCTTCTTATTCCTGCGTGAGAAATATAAAGCGAAGGAGTTTGCGAGTAAGTCAGAGAAATCTATGTGGCTGAAGATGTGCAGTTGCACAGACGTTTATGCAAATAATCTAAAACTTGTGCCATTTAATGCAAATAGTTCTGCTTCAAAGTGTCTGTCCAGTGAATAGATGTTTTAAACCTGTAAAAATAGCTTTTGTCTTAAAGAAGAAGTGCTTTACATCTGYTTGTTCCTTTTTGTTCTTTCAGCGCAGCATGGCCTCAGCTTCCTGGGTTACATCTTCACCATAGGAGGAACTTATCTCTTTGTTTCATTTGGACCAAACCCCCATGAAAAACTCCTGGCAACGAGCATCGTGAAACACATCATAGGMTGGCCTGTTCTCTTGTATTTGGTAAGATATTTTGTTTCAATGCACACAAAAAGCATGCTATTAAATGTCAGAGCAGTTGTGTTAGATCTAATGGCACTTGAAATGATCCAAACCTATGTTGATGATTAGCACACACATTAATCTGGCCTTTTAGTTTTATTTCTGATGAGCAATCATGACTTTGTGTCTGTTTAGAATATCTCATGAACCCCTGGACAAATGTCACTCTCAGAAAGTAATCTTTAAATGTAAAGCAGCAAAAAATTAACATTTGACGTCAGCTTGATTCAGTGTGACCGCCAGTTTGTTCAGCTGTTGTGTTAGAATTTGCTGTGGTTGTAGCTAAGAGTCATTCACAACACATGCTCAATGGGCTACTCTCTGCACACCATCTTTGCCTAAAACTTGGGAAACAGCTGTTCGAATCAACCCTGTTAGCAAAATATCTCATCGCTGCATGAACCTTTTGAGTCTTAACTTCTGGAGTCCATACAAATCAAGACGTCCGCCACTGCTAATCAGATTTAACAAACATAAAAAGTGGCCACAACTCGGTCAGTTTTCTAAATATTAAGCTAAAGTTTGATGTGGTAGCTGTGAAATCTTTAATGTTTTTAAGGTTTGACCACAATGCAGTTGTGCTCGAAAGTTTACATGCTCGGTATTAGTGATTTTTGGGCCATTTATCAGAAAATATAAATAACACAAAAATGTTTCTTTCACTCGTGTTTAGTGGGTGAAGTTATTTTATTATTAAACAACTGAGTTTGCTTTTTTTTTTCATTATAATGACAACAGAATACCCAGCTGACCCTGATCAAAAATGTACATAAGCTAGTTTTCAATACTGTGTATAGTTTCCTTCAGCATCAACGATGGCTTGAAGTGTTTTGTGATAGTTGTGGACGAGGCATATTATTTCCTCACATGGTAAAACTGCCTATTCTTCTTGGCGAAATGTCTCCAGTTCCTATCYATTCGTGGGCTTTCTTGCATGAACTGCACATTTTAAGATCTCGCCAAACTGGCTCAAAGATCTACAGTATATGGTCAAATAAAACACAAATTAAACTTTCAAGCAGAACTGTAGCTATAATGTTATCATTTCTCACCGTAAGATGGTTTTAGTTTGAAACTGGCATGAAAGGTGGTGGGCGAAATTAGTTTCTTTAAACGGGGGTATTGTGCAAAATCAGTTATTTGAGTGTATATTATGTTATAATGTCCTTCGATAAATTGAATAGCCTGTATGCCACGGACATCCAGCCCAGCACTTGATGCCACTCCCAACACTTCCGGTTCACTGTCAACATTGTGTTAGCGAAAGATTTTTTCACCGGACAACGACTCTTAATGATCTCCACAGTACAGAATTAACATATTACATGTACCAACATAAACACAGGACACGTACAGGTCCAGCCAAGTGGGAAAAAATATCACTCCAAAGTGGATTAAAGCCATAAAAACAAAGGAAAGACGTTCWTGTTTATGGTTCCAGAATTTAGCCTTTTTCGKTATTCTGTGGCTGCTTGTTCCGTGAATTTTTCACGTAGAGCTGTGACACTTATATTGTTGGAAAGAGCAGAGTCTGGGCTTTAAATCGATGGACTACTTGTGTGGCGGGTGCTGTGTGAAAGTAATTACCAATTTAAATTCAAAAACCCTGTTTTAGAAAAATAAGATTGATTATAATAATTCCGCTGTAAAAGCTACCATAAGGCACGCAGACCCGCTTACAGATGAGGCTTTGAGACAATTTCACAATTTTAAGATTGTTTATTTGGTCCTGATAATAATTCAAAAATACTAGATTAAAACCTCACATTAAAAATCAGTTCAGGCTCGCTCAGGGAGGAGTGCAATTCAAAGGTAGTGTCCTAAAGAAAATAAAAACCCAGCAAAAGAACAAAGTAAATAAAAAGAAAAATGTGCACCAAACCAAATTAGGAGTACCACCACCCAGAAAGTCCACCACCAACACCACGAGCTGGCCGTTCCTGTAAAAATAAAAGAAAGGCAGTTTAAAATTACAAACAATAAAATATCAGTCAACCCTCAAGCAGTAATAGTCCAGATTTCGAAAGTCCGTCCTTGCAGGAACCGATCCGTGATAACAGACACCACTCCGGGCAGCGGGAGCTGATTACCAATCAGCCCGAAGCAGCCACACTGGACGAGTGATAGAAGCCAGATTTACGCCGACCAGGACGACAGGTAGGTGACCGACAGATTATCCAGCTGGCAGACGGACGGCCAGTCAGAGCAACCAGAACAGCAGGCAAACAGCCAGCCAAGGACAGACAGTCAGCCCAGGACAAACAGCAGCGGCTATCAAAAATAAATGTTAGAAATAAAATCTAAAAACATGCAAAAAATGAGCAGTTCACTCACCACTTGAGCTTCTTTAAGAAGTGCCTCTAGCAGGGAGGAGGAACTGGGAGCGTGTGCAGGCAGCCTGGATATGTAACAAAAGCTAAGCTAAAGCTAAGCTAACAAAATGTCGAGTGTGGGAAGATTCTTACCAGAAGGACGATTGAGTGGCGATCAGAGCGTCATTAAGTGCATTGTTCACGCGCACATTACTTTGCAGCTGTTATACAGAAAATGTAAATAAATCACAAGTAACAAGCTTGATTGAGAGAGATGAAGCCTGCCTTACCTAGCATGCGGCACCAATAAACACCACGGTCTGAACCGGAAGGAGAACGTGATGTCAACCAGATGAGGGAGGGCCCTTTATATACAGGCAGCCAGCGCCACGACCAATCAGATGCAGGCACTTGTGTGGTGCGTTCAAAGCCCATAGGGCATACTGCCACATTCATATGGTTTGGATTGTTTTCCTCGACGTTAGTGAACAGAAAACGTAATGATTATCAGGCGGAGGTTCTGCTGCTCTTGGGGGGAGGGGGCGCTCATCACTCGGCTTTAGTCTACGCTGTAATATACACTCTAACAAGTTTTACTTTAGTCTACGCTGTAATATACACTCTAACAAGTTTTTACTTTTGCATAAAACTCCTGACAAAGTCACACAAAAACATTTCATATAACACAAAAGCGCGCACACACACCTTTTGTACCGGCTGCTGTGTTAGCTTCCTGCTAGCTGTCGTGTGGAGGTGGTCTTTCCTCTCCCGGTCTTGGCAGTAAAGGGGGATAAATGTACATTTCCCTTTTTGTAACCTCCATCTTCTCATTTCTGATGCTGGCTCTTGAATATCCTCAGGTTAGAAATGCCGATTACAAACGCAAGTGTGAGCTTTTAAAGAAGTTTTCCCATTATGCTATGGTCCACTGCTGTCACCTCCTCATCAAGAGGAAAAAGGAGAAAAACTAACTACTCGATCGTACCTGCTGCTTAGTGGACACAATGGCACACAACAGAAGTCACGTTTTATACCAGTAGATCACAGATGATTTAACTTTTGTGACCTTTTCACAGACTAATACTAGCAGCTAACGCTAAAAACATAGGCAGTAAGCAGGGAGTGGAAGGGAGGAGTGTGGCAAGAATTTTACCAGAAATACGTCATTAATGACTGTGGAATATAGGCTATTGAAGCTGTGGAAGGACAAAGCTCCTCACTGGAGCTCGGTTCCTGGCCAAGCTCCCAGGGCACCCCTCCCCCCAAAGCATTGTTGTGAAGACATGCTGAGGTGGAACTGTGTGAAATGGTAGTAGGTTCTCAAAAGCCCCGTCTCCACTGACACGCTTGTATGTGGTTCAGCCTCGGCCAATTGTGTTTCCATTCCAACCATGCTCACCCACGCTGTTTCAGAACCTCCTCTCCGGTGGTTCTTAACGGGTAGAAGCGAGTACAGCACGCTTACGATTTTGACGCCAGCAGAGTGCTGCCTGAGGATTAGCTCTGGGATTGATTGATTGACAGAGGAAAGGCGTTACTTGTGCAAACCTCCTCCTGGAGAGAGAGTCTTTTGGAACACGATCGGCGCGATACAACAACAGGGTGAAAGCAGTGATAAAACCGTGGTCTAACCTTTTTGGTGACCTTGAGAAAGGCAGAGCTTGCGAACACTTCCTGGATAGAGGTGAAGGAGACGAAGCTGAGCAGATTATTGGGAGGTTTCGAACAAACTGGCCGCCTATGGTTACACAAGCACTTATAAACAGCACTGCAACAAAAAGTAAAGTCCGAACGGTAAGACCATTTTGGACAGAGTGAGGAGCAGAACCGAGCTGACCCAAACTGAATAGAGTAGAAGTGTGCTCATAGAGAAGGAGCACAAAACAACATTGTCCAAGAGCCACTTTTGGCACAAATAATGCCAGGTGACAGGTCTCAGATTTTTTAGATTTTTTTTCCGCGTTGTAGACTCCAGCGGGAAGGCACCCCATGCAGTTACGTATGCTGCAGCCGGAGGGGTCTCCCAGGAGCTCGGCACGGTGTGTTTCAAGGAGCTGTGAAAAGTGTGCGCAAAAATAAACGCCAACCACGTGACCGCACATCATCCGGTTGGCTGCCCTTTGACCTTACTGAGCCCTACATTGTTTGATTGACAGCCAAGGGGGAGGGACATCTATGGATTGATTGGATATAAATGAAAGTTTGGCCAGTGACAAATTAAATTTTGCCACTCTTAATTTTTCATAAGCACCGAAGAGCTACTTTAAATGAGCTACTGAGAGCCCTGAACTGAAGAGACAGGCAAATTCAAGGTGTTTATGTAGGCTATGATGCAAAGTCAAATTTATTTTGGATATTTACAGCATTTTCACAACAACTTAAGGTAACATAGTTTTGGTAAATGTGGTAAAGAATTGAACTATGTGCCTGGAAAACACATAATATACTCTCCCTTAAGGATTGTTACATCTTTACTTTTAATGGTYTGTATTGTTGTCCCGACAGTTCCTGGAGATCATCACATTCTGTCTGCTGTTATACTTCTACAAGCAGCACAACGCTAAGCACCTCATTATTATCCTGCTGCTGGTGGCATTGCTGGGTGAGTCTCTTATGTGAAGTCCAGATACGGTTCTGTTTCATTACGATGCGTCGAAACCTCCCAGACACCAACGTCGTTAAGAAAACGTTTGCCGTCTTGTTTGTCGCTGTCGGGGAACAGGCTCCGTCGCGGCCATTACAGTGAAGGCAGTCTCAGGCATGTTMGTGCTCACCCTGGAGGGCTCCATGCAGCTCGACAACCCCATCTTCACCGTCATGTCCGTCTGCATGGTGGCGTCAGTCGTCTTCCAGGCCAGGTGAGGAGGGAGCGCACACGTCTGAGGAAGTGTTTGGATCAGTTCTTGGTTCTGGGTCAGGTACCAGGAAGTGTTTGGATCAGTTCTTGGTTCTGGGTCAGGTACCAGGAAGTGTTTGGATCAGTTTATTATTATTTATTATTATTTAATTTTATTTCATTCAGGCAACAAAACAATCCAAATAATAATAATGTGTCAAAGAACACACAACACAACATGGTCAAATGAAAAGGAGCAGAAAGAAAAAAAAACTTGTAACATCTGCCCCCATTTAAAAAAAATATATGTCTACAAAACATACAACATGCAGAAATTAAACTCAACTTTCACAGTATAGCTTAAAAATAATCAACAAAACAACATCACAACAGAAATATCAATTTCAACCAATAATTTGTTCATATCTCTTAAAAAAAACTTTTATGTATTCTACCAAATGGTAAATTGTTCCAGCATTTTTAAGGTCATTGTCCAAGTTGTTCCAGAGTTTAATTCCTCGAACAGAGGTGCATCTATCCATTAAATTTGTTTTAATTTTTGGTTTCACAAACATTTCAAGTCCCTTCAAATTATAAACACTAGCCCTCTTAACAAAACTGGATTGAATATTAGGTGGCAATACATTTTTATGAGCCTTATACATAATCAAAAGGATCCTATAATCAACCAATTCCCCAAATTTCAACAGTTCCAATTGCTTAAATAGAATATTTGTAGGGTGATAGTGTTTTCTTGTTACAATTCTCGCCGCACGTTTTTGCAAAATAAAAAGTGGATTTGTAAATGTTTTGCACGCACTCCCCCAGACCTCAAAACAATAGGTCAAATGTGGCACAACTATAGCATTATATAATATAAATAATGCATTATTATTAAATATGTCTTTGGCTTTATACAATACTGCAATTGATTTTGCAATTTTAGTTCTTAAGTAGTTAATATTGGGTCTCCATGTCAGATTTTCATCTATAATAGCCCCCAAAAACCTCACTTCACTAACCCTAGAACTTCTAACGCCACCAATTTTAAATGAAACAGCTATTTATAATTTTCTTTTAGTAAATACCATATAGTTAGTCTTGTCTAAATTAAGTGATAATTTAACATAAACCATTCTTGTATTTTTACAAAATCTGATTGCATCGTTTTAAGCATGTGATTTGGATCATTACCTGAACAAAAGAAAGTGGTGTCATCTGCAAATAAGACACACCTGAACAACTCTGACACATTTACCAAGTCATTAACATATAAAAGAAACAATTTAGGACCAAGCACAGAGCCCTGTGGGACACCACAAGTAACTACATCAAAAACCGAACATACATCATTTATTTGTACATCTCAAACCATATTTGTTTAATTTGCTGATAAGAATGCTCTGGTCAATAGTGTTTAGCTCCAGTTGTGCTTAATTTGACCTATTATTTAAACAAAAAGACTATCTTAACAGCAGGGGGTCACTGTTCAATGTGTTTGCATCTCCTCAGATTTCTTTCCCAAGCTTCCAAACTGCACGACTCCTGCCTGGTTGCCTGTGTCAGCTACATCCTGTCCACCGTATCTGTGGTGGGGGCCGGTGAGTTACAGCTTTTCTTGATGTTAGATTTCTCTATTGAGTTGTTGTTGTTGTTGTTGTTTTTGGTTTTCAAGGGAACAAATATCTCTGCAATTAGTTGCAAGATGCAGAAAAAAAATCAATAGAGTTCAAGTGGCCTAATTAAAACTCCTGATTCCCCTTGTTGTTGTTTTGTTTGTTTTGTAGGAGCTGTGTTCTATTTGGAGTTTAATAACGATGACGTCCTTCACATCTGCATGTTTCTGCTGGGGTGAGTAATCAGCTGTCATAGGAACCTTTCCCAAGACATTTTAAGACGTTAATGCAGGAAAATGTGGAACTGTAATCATAGCGAGGTTTTAAAGAGGCCGAATTCAGTTTAAATCCTGGTTTGGCTGTTTGGCATGTTGCCTTTGAGCTTATTTTAAGGAAACTGAACCTTTTGTTTAATGTGTAAGTTGTGTATTTATTTAAAGAGTTTTAATGTTTTTTGAGTAAATAATTACATTTATTATGTTACTGTTTGTACAGATCTGTATTGTGTTTCCTTGGAGTGTTTCTCATGGCCAAAACCAAAAGAAGGAACAAGATCTTTGAGCCGTATGTCACCATGGACATGACTAATGGTTCGTAGAAACTATTAATCATTATCATATCCATCTCTGGTTTTTAGATTGTATGTTATCAGAGCTTTTTGTTTTCATCTTCTGTGTTTCATGTTCAGGCGTCCCAACGATTCATGACACAGGCCAGGCTGTTCAGCCGGACTTTACTGGTTCTTTCTCCTACGGGACCCTTGTCAACAACGATGGAGTGGCCCCTGCTTCTCTGCCAGTAAACCTGGAGCAGCCTGCAGTCACACAGATAGCCTCAGATCCATCTCCTGGCCACCCGGAGCTAAAGAAAGATTGAGTCCGTTCAAATTCACCATCGAAGGATCCTGGATTTTAGAAGATGTTTTTTTCATGTAACACCTTAACCAAACTCCTACAGATGCTTTGTTTTTATAAAACTGCTTAACCAAAAAATGAAATGCAGAAGCTTTTTTTATTGTTTAAAGACAAATAAGAGCAGAGAAAAATGGAGTTTAAGTTTAAATTTGAGGATGTGTTTGATTACACCAACGTCTGCTTCCTCACATCCTTCCTTCACTGGAAACGTTCTCCTCCATCCTTACGAAGTATTCAGTCCTGTAAATGTACACTGCAGGAAATGAGATGAAAAGTTGCTTCAGAATGGACTCGATGTGAAAGAACTGCTGTATTTTGCTGTATATTCTATTACTAAAGTTGCCTACTGTGCTTCCACATGTGGACGCCGCTTTAGACCAATTGAAACGTATCAATAATTAACTGGGAGTTGAAAACAAATAATCTCACCGCGTTGCCTCTTTAAGTTTTTTTTTTTTTTTTTTTGCATGTGTAAACTTGACATCTTTTATACACTTGAAAACCAATCAATTTCTCAAAAATTAAGCAATTTTTCCATTCAGGTATTACCGGGTATAAACTGTACAGATGTCATTATGTAATAATGTGGATGAAGAGCTTTTGAGAAGATTTGCCAATGGATACTGCCTCCAATACGTACTGTTTTACCTGACTCTTCTGCCTCTTGAGCTTAAGATTTTACTGTATTACTTCATTAAGTGACCAAATGTTTGTTTGAAATTATTGTGACATATTTATTTATTGTGTCCTGATCTGCCTTTAATATGCAACAAAACACTTTTAGATTTGAGTGAGACTGCATGACACAAGTAGAGGTTTGTTAAACCGGTCCGGCAGATCGGTTGTTTAAAGAACATGAATCTGTTGGTTTATGTTTCACTGCATAAAGTCTCATATCTTTTCAGTGTTAATAAAAGGGCTAAATGACAAACAAATTTCCTATGAAGTGACGCAGTCTCTTTGCAACTTTTGTTTCAATCTGAAAACCCACTGAGGTCAGCCATGTTAATAAATCTACCTTTTGTGATGCCTACATCCTCTGTTTACTTTTCCACTGTAAATGATTAGCAGTTTCTTATTATGAAGTTTCCAGAGCCCAGTTMTGTTGCAGTCAGTCACGTAATCTTTGTTCTGCTTCACAAACGTTTTTCAGCTCTGGTACGGAAAACCAAAATGTCCCATAATTTAGAATGCAGGCTGATGCAGGAGATATGATGTATGTGCTGCAAACATTCAGTCTCGTGTTGATTTTAAAACACATGAACCCAAGCAGTCTGACAAAAAATATAAAAATTCCTTTATTGAATTTATATTCTAAAATGGTATCTTGACTGTAATCTTTGGACATTTAACTGTTTTGCTTTTATAAGGTTTTGCTAATTTTACCATCTAGCTACCCTTTTGCTCATTTTTAACTTCTAGCTATTGCTACTCTAGCTTCCTGCTACTTTTATTACTAACTTTTGCTGATTTTGGCAAGTGCTTCTGTACTTTAACTAGTTGCTAGCTACTTTTATTCTAACTTTTGCTACATTTAGTTTAGCTAACCTTTTGGTACTGTTAGTTTTAAGCTACATATTGCTACTTTTAGCTACAAATAGTGTTAAAATTTTTGCTTGTGTTTTATAACTTGTACCTTGCTTTTTGCTGCATTTAGTTTTCAGCTAGCCTATTGCTATTTTTAGGTTTCTTCTGCTACTTCTGACGCTCAAAACGCGTTTGGGGCGAACGCACCATTATCCCCTCCTCTGCTCTCATTGGTCTCTGGGAGTTTACGCTCGCATTTGATTGGCTCCAGKTGCGGCTGCTGACGCTGCGATAGGCTGCATCAGAACAGTTCTAATCCAGTGGGAAAAACACCTAATCATCTGATGGCAAATCTGTCTCAGTAATAATAACAACAACAGTAACTGCATCACTAATCTGTGCAACTCAAACAGTCAGAGGAGAAATCAGACCCGTTCAATGGAGGGTTTCGGACTGGTCCACTGACAGCAGTGTGGTGAGTACTGATCACAGACGCAGGTTYTTTATTTGCATCTGAGCTGAATAGATTAAATCAGCGACTTCCTCGTGTGTGGATCTGTGGAAACTTTGTAAATTTGAGCTGTATGCTGAATTAAAACGATTTTTTTTTTACCAGCAAAGACTAAAATATTTCTGCAACAGTCCCTCTAAGCGTCCCCATCAAAACATGTCATAATTTCTTCATTTAATAAAGCTGCGTGCAACGGCATCTGCAAGTATCCTTTGATACAGCCATAAATAAATACTGTTGATATTTTTACARAATTTACCAATGAGACGTAGTTAAATGCATAAATATGGACTCAATTTTTGTCATCTTTTTATTTTCTAAATTCGCGTTATTTTTTTATGTTTAGGACCTGAGCGTCATTAGAAGAAGCAGGTTTACCACTAGATGGTGCTCTGCTCTTTTTCTTCTGCTGACAGTTTGAGCCAAAACCTAACTTCTCCAACCTTTTACTTTCATAGCTTTTTTTTTAAATCAGTCAACAGTTCTAGACTTTGGTTGTTGTTGTTGTTGTTTTATTTTTTTATTTTTTATTTTTATTTTTTGGGTGGGGGGGTGGTGCCAATATTGTATTATATTTATGAAGTTATTTAAAAAAATTCTGTGATAATTATAATGACATCTTCAAAATGTGGATTTTAAACTTTTGAAGGTTATGGCCCCCAAATTTACACATTTTGCATTCAGGTTTTAAGGTTTTGTTCTAAAAAGTTACATAAAAAGTGAAGCAAAGACACTAGTTTTATCAAAGGACACAAGCTAATTCTTCAACAACAAACCCTCTTATAAACAAAAAACACACTCTTTTATTTATTAAACCACTGAAACAGTTCAAAAATCAAAATAATATTTTCTTTTAGGCCATCTTTATCTTTTAGCTGCAGTTTTGCTATTTTCAGTTTTTAGCTTCAATTTAGATCCTTTTAGCTACTGCGTTGTTGATTTTAGCTTTACCAAATGTTTTGCTACCTTTATCCACAGTTTGGCTACTTTAAGCTCATTTTGTCTCTAGCACAGTTTGCTAATTTTTACTACTATTCTTATTCAGTTTGCAAAAAAGAAAGCATATTGTCTTATTGGATCTGTAGAATTGTATTTCCATCCAGTGCAGTCAGCTCATCTTCAATCTGTCCGTCTGTTATCCCCCTCTTTCTTTAGWCCCCAGCTTCTGCGGCCCCTCCTGCCTCAGCAGCATCCTGAAAGGAGTCCAGATGCTGCGGGAGACCTCGAAGGCYTGGAGCAACGGCTCTGAGGCCTACAGCAGCGACCCTGAGGAGGAGGATGATGAGGAAGAGGACATGGTGTTTGGGGAGAGRGATCAGGACGGCGTGGTGGAGGAGATGATGGACCTGAGTGACCTTCCCACAGCGTTGTTTGCCTGCAGCGTGCATGATGCTGCATTCGAACAGGACACACACAGGGTGAGACGAAGCTGCTTCACGTCTTATCTGTTGGATTGAAAGCATCGGACCGAGTCTGTGTGTGTGTTGTTCATTTGTTCTTAATGTTAGCAAAATATTTCATGGACGGATTTCAACGAAACTCTCAGTGACTAATCAATGGGTGTACATTTAGAACTGATGAACTTTCAGAGTCAACCCTATTCAAGATGGCTGCCAAAGCTAAGTAATCTAATCAAACAAAAATAACTATAGATCAGCCAGTTTCACAMATWCTGAGCTGAAATTAGGTGTGGTCATAGCTGAGAGTCATTCCCAACACATACTTAGAGCACTAACTGGTCACACAACATCTGCAGTGTACTCGTCTGTTAGTATAACACCTCCTGAAGTACAGCTGAGTGAAGCTGACCCCTCCCAAAAAACGAACCACAGAAAAATAAAATGCAAATTAGATGAGTGGTTAGTGCATCATTTGTGCTCGTCTGTGCACTTGAAATTGTCATTTGTGCTGCTATGTTTTTTTTTAAATAAATTAAAGATTGTTTGTAAGGGTCATTCAGGGGTCACCATCCCACCCGCTCGCTCCAAAATGAACCAAAAATGAACCAAACTTGTCAAATTTTGTAGTGCTTTGTTTAAGCAGGTTTGTGCTGTTGAAACMGCTGTTTGTGCTGCTATAATTTATTAGATATTAKACGTTATAATTTCAGATGATCACGTGTCTGTGACGTCACATACAATTCAGGCCAAGTCACGTGATCGTCCCAAATTATAACATGTAATATCTCAAATTATAGCAGCACAAACAATTGTTTCAACGGCACAAACCTGGTCAAACAAAGCACTACAAAATTCGACAAGTTTGGTTCATTTTTGGTTCATTTTGGAGCGATGGTGACCATTGAATGAGCCTTACAAACAATCTTTAATATATAAAAACCCATAGCAGTGCAAACGACAATTTCAAGTGCACAAACGTGCACAAACAATGCACTAACCATTCACCTAATTTGCATTTTATTTTTCTGTGGTTCATTTTTTGGGAGGCGTCAGCTTCACTCAGCTCCTGAAGTACTGGACTGATTTTTAATGAAACTCTCAGGAAGTAATCATTGGATGTACATCTACAACTGATTAACTTTTGGAATTTGCCCCAGTCAAGATGGCTGCCACAGCTAATCAACCGCAGCCAACATGAAATTGTTGTAACTCTGTAAATTTTACAGATGTTGAGCTAAGATTTGGTGTGGTAGTAGCTGGAAGTCATCTACATCAAGAACACATCTCATGAGATTTCATTATATCATATGAGATCATGGTCAACATCATTTACAAAGCTTAACCAAAACAGCTATAAGTCTGTTGCTTCTCATTATAAGATGGTCTTATTAAATAAAAATGAAAAATACTGATATGAAAGCTGGCAGGTGATTTGTATTCTTTCAAGGAATGCCACACAGCAAATATGGCAGTGTTAAATTAACACCATTGGTTTAACACCAAACAATGTTTAGTGTTAAATCAAGCACTAATTTAACACAATATTTGCTGTGCAGGCAGTGGCGGATCTAGGATTTTTCTGAGTCAGGGGCCAAGTCAAGAGGCCACAATATTCATAGAGGTGCCAAGTCTTTGTTCAACATCCTTTCACACAAATTCCCAGTGTATACATTTTACACTTCAAACACTTGTAATGTCATTTTATAAAATTACCACTTTACAATAAGGCCCCCCTTATAGATGGCTCTTAAAGAGTTTATAGATAGGTTATTAAATAATCTGTAAACACTTTAAAAATTATTAATAAGTGTTTATTATGCAATAATTAAGGACGAGAAAGAGACAAAATTGTCCAGTTTCATTTATCAATGATTTATGAAGTGTAAGCTTTACAAATGAATAATAACCTTTCTATAAACTCTTTATAAGCCATCTATAAGGGGAGCTTGATTGTAACGTGGAACCAAAAATCTTGCACAGTAATATCTCCTCACCAGTTTTTCATACATTTTACTGTACATAGATAAAATATTTTCAAACACACAACATGTGAGAAAATCCAGCCATCATTTGTCAGTTGAAAGACCTTTTTTTACAGGATTGTTCACATTTTAAGAAGAGAAGAATTCTGTACGCTTGATTCATTCTGGATTTTACTATTTGACTCATTAGTGCAACTAGTGTTGGAACATGGAACTGCATCCACCATCATCACCCCCAGGTAAAGGACTGATGAGTGACAGGACAGGGGCACTTCAGGGGGCCAATCAGATTTCAGCTGGGGCCAATGCCCCCGTGGCCCCGCCCCTGTGTGCAGGCTCTTAATTTTCTAACATTTACCGTATTTATTCATGTATAATACGATCTCGAGTATAATATGATCATCATTTTTTGATGTTACGAAGCATAAAAATCTAATTATCAATAACCCGTGTATAATACTATCCCCCCACTTTATGGATGATTTTTAGGGTTAGATTTCTAGTATTATACATGAATAAATACAGAAAGCTTCAAGATCTGCTCTTTTGTAAAATCACACARAGTCATCCACACCTGATGCAGCTGTGTGTCCATGTGGTTTTTAATGTAATTTTAGCGAGGGGGTTGTGAATGCAGGTCAGTGGATTAGAACATGACTTTCACAGAGCTGCAAGCCATTACTTGGGCCTAATCCATGTGTCTGTGCATATCATTCACTCATCACCTTGTGCAGCATGTTATTCATGCCCAATTATGTCTCAGCAGAAGATTTCCCGTTGGGCTTCACACACATCCTCACTTGCATGAAAATGGGGAATTTGTATTGACTTCCATTCATTTTTGTAACTGTCTACCTACGTAACCCAGACATTTTCCCTAAAACTAACCATTACTGGTCTACAGTTAACACTAACCTGAACCAAAACTTACGGTAATTCACACCATACTTCTAAACCTAATTAGTAGATAGTAGAGCTGCAAACAAAGTGAGACCATTGAAGATGTCCTCACTTTACATCAAAGACCTCACTTTGATAGAAACTYTGGCTCAAATGGTCCTCACTCTGTAGTAGAAACAAGTACATGCACACATACACACGCATTGTAGTCAGACAGAAGCAGATTTGTGCCAATGAGCTTYTATTGTCTTTTACTTCAGAATGTGTTTCAGTTGGACATTTTAGGATCACAGAAACCTGTTTTCTGGAGGATGCCAAAAAAACTTGTAATTTCCTGCTTTCTAATCTAGTTATGCTGTCCCAAGATACTTTATTCTTCCAGCTGGATTCCCTCAGTCAGGTCTGTCCATCTCTCCATCCACTGTAACTCAAAAACATTTCTCCTCATTTCCTTCCTCCCTCGTTTCCTTTCTCCTCCGTCCTTATCGATACCGTCTATGTGTACAAATGCAAAGCTCAGAAGCTAAATWTGGCGTTTTCACACAATCCCTTCAAGCGAATCGCTCTTTGCTTTGTGAGGTTGCTGTTTGCACGCTCGTTTCTCCTACCTGTAGAGTCCGCCTCCTCCTTTCCCTTCCTTTTGTTTTGCCTCCTCGCTTCATTACGACTCACGCTCTGGCTTTTAAGTGYAAATCACACCCACGCACACTTCATGTTCCATATGTTTCAATCAAACAAGCCACACTAAAATAGAAACTTTTACTCTACATCACTTTCATGAGTGATGACAGGAATGAAGAGATCGCTGCTGAAGGCGATGAGGTTATTGCACATTTGTATGTGTGTGTGTGTGTGTGTATGTGTGTGTGTGTGTGTGTGTGTGTGTGTGTGTGTGT